GAGACTCAGAGGTGTTCACTAGAGAGGTTCTCTCTTAAAGGTTTTCACTAGGGAGGTGTTTATTAATTGTGGTAACCAGAAAATATATTCCCCTATAAAATATCTAATTTTAAGAGCAAGGTGACTTATTTCGCTTGACTTAATAATTATCAAATGCGTCATATTCATTAATTTATATTTTGATTTTTGCTCCTAACAAATCATTTTAGAGTTATTTTACGAGTATTGTTACTCTTTCTTAGGTTTATCAATACTTATTAATGTAATATACCTTTAATTGATCTGTGCCCTGGGATCCGTTATGCTATACTATGACACACCTTGAAAGAAATCAATTTGAATTAAGTTACAATTGGACCCCTGTGCCTAATATCAAACACTATTCATTGTATTTTGTATGAAGTCCCAATGTAATACAAATAAATATAATTTTCAGGGGTTTTATTGCCTCAGTGGTTGTTCATATATTCTTTGGTTTTTCTCAGGTTCTTTGTTATATAATACAGGAAAATGCATTACCAAATTTATATTTTATTCAAAATCGTAGACTAGCTAGAGGGATATCTATTGTAGAGTTGGGTTACTATTGCTTCAAGACTACAAAGAAACAGCTCAATAAAGTTGTCAAAAAATATGTAAAAAAGACTTCAGGTTCTGGCGTTTTATACTTAAACATAGTTGGTAAGATTATTAAGTTGTTTTCAAAAGAGCATAAGAAATCTATGTTCTGTGATAGTTATGATTAATATAGGTTTTAGGAAGATAACAAGCATGGAAATAATTATTATATTTAGGGAGGGGGGATATTTCCTATATCTGTATTGTACTGTATACTTGGAGGTTTTGGATACAGGGTTTATTCGGGAAAAAATGTATATCTATTCGTAGACTTCCTATCTATGATTTAATACCTCGTGCCTTAGTGACTTTTATTGGAATATTAGCAGAATACTAGTAGATAAAAAGTTTTTTACTGGGAGGTTATAGATACAGAGTTTATCCTGAGAGAAATATGCATATCTATGTTAAGGTTCCCTAACTCATGGTTTAATGCCTCGTGCCTTAGTGACTTTTATTGGAATATTAGCAGAACAGTAGTAGTATGTAATTATTCTTTGAATCACTGAAACATTCTTTCTCTCGTTTTGTGGAGACAATACAAAGATTCATGATGGCATTTATTCTGTGATTTGCTTATAAAGAAGCTACTCGACTTAAATGTGAAGAGATAGCGTGAAGTTATTAGGATCACAACTCTCAATCTTTTAGACATTTTCATATTCAAAGATTTTCACCAAAATTCAACAAATTGTTGTAATATTTTGTGTTTAAAAATATGAAGATGAATTTCTCATGGTTGAGTTACATGATTTTTACCTCTGTTTTTTTGTGAATTTTGTTGTTACTTGAAAAATATCGGTGACACTTACTAAATTTTTTGTAAGGGTAATCACTGTTTTTCTCTTTCTTCTTATTCTTGGAATACTCACAGTTGATTTCTTGAATACAAATTAATCGCATAGAAATAATTCTTTAGAATTAACCTTCTAGCGATTACCTTCTAATTTCCTTTAACCTAAAGGTGACCTGACCTTCTATTAATTTATATTGGCTGTTTAGCTAGAATTGACTTGAATGTGGAGATATTACACAAGGCTGAATATATGTCTTGTTTTATATATGATGCGAAAAATACAGAGGAGGGTGGAGGTAGAAGATGGAGGATTTTTCTTTATTTTTTTTGGGGGGGGGGGTATAGGTGAAAAGGATTATTTGGGTCTTGGTAGAACAACTTTTGGGGATGTAGGTGGAACAAATCAGATTTTGGAGGCTAAGGTCAACAAATGAGATTTTGGGGACATAGGTACAACAAATCAGGATGTAGATGAGCTTGCAACGAGTCAGATTTTTGGGGATGTGTCTGTTTATGTCATCATTACAAGTGGTTATTACATATTAGGTACCCATATTTATACTGTCTCCAACTTTTTGTGGATGGTGGTTGGTATTTGACAGTCATCGGTCGATATCTGTAACAAATGGCATGTGGTGACATTTTGCATGTTTATACCTTGATTAGCTGTAATTCTGTAAATATACTAGGTGTTTCTAAAACCATATTAAGTCACGAATTACAACACGGAAATTAATATACATTGTAATGGTTTGGCATAAGGTTATTACTCAGTTATTGTGCTTTACAATTGGATGTTACTGGAGTCAAAAGTCGTGACATTTACCATGTTCTTTTTACATCAGGCATTTCCAATACCATATTGAATCACAAATAACAGCAAGGAAAACAGTATACATCTATAAAGAGACAGACATATTTGCAATAACATAAAATTGGATGACATATTTCGGCAAAATACATAAATAACCATGGCAACTATTCATTTAGCCACTGAGTGGAGGAGTCAAGATTGGCAATATTGTTTGCGGAACACTTTTGGTCGAGGATAATTTGTTCGATAGATGTTGCTATCCAATTTCTAAGATGGTCCAATTTTATTTTGAGAAAAACATTAGAATATGGGTGCAATGATTAACATAAAATAATATCAATATTCAAAATTTTAACCAAATATAAAAATTTCATCCCTTTTAGCCAAATTTGGGAATGAAATCGTAAACTTTCCGAGAGGGTCTCATCAAATTGATCATGATTGGTCTAACCTTTATACAGGAGCTCAATATCTTGAACTAAGTAATGAAGATACATTTGAAAGAATTGGTCCCTAGTCGCTGGTTTGTGTATAACACTTATTGGCTTTAAGCTACGGCGATGTAAGTGCCGTTAAATAGTCGTTATCTTAAGTGAAGGGCTCCAGTAATTGATTGTTAGGAACTGCTTTTGGCAGTTGGTTGTTTTTTACGTCTCTAGGGGTGACGCGGCTGTAATTCTAGATATAACTCTAACGTGGCCATTTTGTTACAATCCCTTTGGGATTCTCTTAGATCGAAGCAGACCTTTTGTTTGTTCTATTCATTCATTTTTATAGAAATGTGCATCATTTCATTGATATTAATGTGAGGTGAAGAAGGTTATTGCTTTGTTATGCTTTTTTTGCATTTGTATGGTGTCGTTTTTGCATTTTTTGGTTCCCTCGTGACTGAGGGGGTTTTATTTAACAATGCATCTCTTGGGTAACACTAAACGCTTTTGGCATTTCCTGAATTGGAAAGCATTTATAAACCGCTACAAATTAACTTCAGTGTTTTTATCATTTAGTATTAGCTGATTTGTGTCAATGACATGACTAGAGACCATAAATTCATTTTGGAATTGGATTGGTTCGTCAATATTTCAGATCGGTATATAAAAATTGTTCGGCAATTATAAGAATGTTGCTATAATTTTATGAATAGAATTGCTAGAATTTTAATAAAACATCATGTTTTTACCGAATAGGCAATTTTGAGAACATGTTTGTCTCATCCAAAATATTCAACCTTCATGCTTTAATATTTCTCTGTTTTGTTTCAAATTTTGAAAATACTATCAGAATCTCTTGTATTTGTGTTAGCTACATCTGTATGATGCTTATGTCATGTCAATGTGATATTTCCTGACTATTCCTTGCCTATTCCTTGCCTTTTCCTTATCTGGCATAATTCCCCGACCTCTTATCAAAATGTCTTGCCACAGCCCATCAAAATTCAAAGCACATCCGTTATTCCTGGTCTTTATGATATTTTGAATCGCTAATTCTCATTTTTCACCATTTGTGCTCCTATGGGTAATATGTGAGTTTCTTAAAGAGCTTATAATGGCTTATTGGAAAAAAGGACCAATTTGAGCCCATGTAAAACTGTGATTTAGATTTATTGGTCCCTTTTCGATCAATCTTGTTTCACGTAGATCTGTCTTGTCACATCTTGGTATGAATTCTAATAGAACACGACAGGAACATTGAGTTATATGTATTCAAATATTTGTGAGACTTATGTTGAAGAATGTTAAGAACAAAGGATGATTTCACAGCTAGCATATGGAGAAAATACGGGCAATGTCAGTGGCTAGGATTTTAGCCGAGGCCTGATTCAATGAGCGGGAAATGTACATAAAGGGACTGTGTAAAAACAGACCAACATGGATTGTTGCACTAAGTTTAATAAACTGATAGTTATTGCGATCTCTTTCTTCAGATAAATATTTTTCTTTGTCTTAAGTTAAATAGAAAGTGTCTGTATGGCACTTTTTCATATAAAGGACGAGATGTAGATAATTTATATACTAGATATATATAAGATTTAACTTGAGGTAATTCTGATTAAATGAAATTTAGCTGAAGGGATTGGGTAGAAATATCTGTTGGTGGAGGTAGAATGGTACATATATAATGATAAATAAGTAATAGGAACTCATGTATAATTATAGATAGGTGAAGCTATGTATTAATCTGGTGTTTTCAATATATAACCTTAACCCATCCACTCCTTTCATATGCCTAAACAAATGTCCAAAAAGCCCATTGGGTAAAGATTGTGTTCATTTGCTTCACCCTAAAACAAACCAGCATTCCTCTGTGTAACAAAAATGGGGGCTAATTCTTGAAAATGTCATGAATTACAATTTTTAAAATTCGATTGTCTCTATTATACCATGATGTTACATTGTGAAGTTGAAACAATATTTTGAAAAAATTCCCCTGACCATATCTCAATTGGGAGACATGACAATCTGTCAAATGGTTCATTTTACTAAAATCCCCCATAACTGACCCTTATAATTAAAAAGTCTAACCCACAGCACGTTATCGAAGGGATCGACCAAAATACATTTAAGTGAAATTAATGAAGGTGGTATGGTTAACATTTAGTCCATAAATGTCCATAATCCTCTACTGACAATACATAAATCCAGACCCGATAATCTGATAATCGTCAGTCCGTGCCATAAAACATCTCATGAAAAAATTCTCGCTTAAATTCAATCATTTGAGAATCATGAGTAGACTAGTGCTATGTTTTAACTTACAGCGACTACCACCACAACTACTACTACTACTACTACCACTCCAGTACCACCAACCACCACCACCGTACCTTCAACAACTCAAGGCAAGCAAAAAGCAGACGGCGTCATGGCGATCATATAATTTCATTCAATATATCGATAAAATTTCAAAGAAGTTGATTCTTTTTTGAAATTTTTGAATAGATTTGTCTATGAACTTTATGACTGTTCATCCAGAAAATATATTTTGATTTGATTTTTAAAATTAAGCGATCGCCATGATTTTGACTGTGAGGAATATCTGGTCACTCCAAGCAACAAGATATTTTGAGTAACAGTAATATCCTAGACAGATAATGTCCCAGCACAATTTGCACATCAGAAGACTTTAAGTGGTTTTATTTTACCAGGTTGCGATAATTGTCAGGAATAATGACACTAAATTAGCATCATTTTAAGGATGACACCATTTCAAATCCTGTAAAAAGAAAAATGGAAGCTTAATCTGGACATTACTAATTTTGTAGATCAAATGACCATTTGAAAATTATGCCAAATTTATAAATTATAAAAATGTTAAAAATGACAAATAGGCCACTTAAAGTTTCTAACGTGTGAACAAATTCTGAATCACCATGCTTAATTCAGTTTCTCACATTTATAAAAATGATTACAAATAAATGATTTTGAGATTATTTAACACATTATGCAAAATTAGATGTTGAACTAACCCTGTATTGGATTTATCCTAAATGATGCCCCATTGTAACATTAGCATTTAACAAGGCCTTGTGAATCAAATCAAATCCAAAATATTTTTTATTTATTTATTTTGATTTCATTTGTTTGATATTGTAAGATTTTAATGTCCTTCATGATTATTTTTTTGTTTATTTTTATTTAATCTTGTTGCTTAGTGATTTGATGCAGGCCTGTGATTTGTTGATGTTACGATGGGAGATTACATCATGATTGTGTAAATATTGCATCATTTCATTTATTTTTTATTTATTTATATATTCTCCATGTATTATTTATATATTCATATATTGTGTTTCATTTTCAAATCATCAAAGAACTTTTCTTTTGGGACAAAATATTTATTTGAATGTTTTACAAAAAATATTTTGAAATGATGTGAGGTTTACATATTTATTAACTGAGCATTTTTGATATTATGAGAGGTTAAGCAGTTGTTTTAGAGCATTTTGGTTGCTTTTTGCACGTGTTGTTTGGCATATGGATTGCTTGGTATCATTAGAACTAACATATAGTTTTTAGATTAGAGTAGTCATTAATGGCTTTATAATTACTGTAATATTTTATGTATTAATGTTTCAGCTTTTTACAAGTCGATTTGGGAAACAGGGTGGAGTAATATTTTTCGGGAACCTGAAATAAATCCAATTTTGAGTCAAATTTAAAGAAATAAAAGTATAAGAATTTTTCAAAAGTTGACATTTAATCTCTGTTGGACTATTTTGACCCTATGTGGTCTTTATTGACCATAAGTATGAAAGTATTTCCGTATTTTCCTGGAAGGGAGGGGGGTCGAGGTAGCATTAAAGTTGTCCCATCCTCCTAACACAGGCGTCCCGAACTCCTACCTCCTTCTTCTGGAAGAAGAAAGGAACTTAGTGGATGATACCTGGAACCCTGCATTTGGAGGATTATTTCTCCCAAATGCATAAGTTTACTTTCTCATTAACTATATTGTACCCTTTAGGTTTTTTCTAAGAATATTCTGTTAACGAAACTGTACTGCCAAAGTATACGCCGTATACCTATATTGTAACCAATATAGAAGTTATAAATGAAAACATTGATTTTATCGAACTTGTGTCAGGAAATTAGGTTTCCTTGTGGGTGTATCAAAAAACAATCATTTTCTAGTGTGCCAGAAATTCGTTCATGCACAACAAAATTTTCAAGTGTCATTGAACAGAAATGAAAAACGAGCAAAATCAATCCAAGCCATTATGAAGTATTTCATTTCTGTTATGTTTCTCCATATAGTTCTGGGATTAACTGTCAACAAAATGTGTCTGAAATTTGTGATATGAAACTGAATATCAAACTACATAAATTCTTGAGAAAAAATATAAAAACCAGAAGAAGTCATAGATCAGATCAAATTATTCTATTCTCATGTCGATTGGAAAAAAGCATATCAACTCTCAAAAAATTTCATTTCAGAAAGATTTATCCCATACGTTACATATAACACCCTTTGATAAATGTTTATCCTTGTATATTGTTGTTTTGTCTATATATACTGGTGATCTCATTTCTCTGAACTTTGAAATGATGGGGCAAAATGTCAAAACCTCATTCCGTAGAGGTTAACATTCCATTGTTTATGTTCCCGTTGCGTCATAAAGCAAGTGTATGTGATAAATTATTCATTTAATTGCAATGTACTCACCTGAATTTACCTTACATGCAGTATTAGGCAATGAAAAATATAAGTTTCAACTTTATAAACAGTATTGTACACAACTTCGAGAAATGTTCCTGTTCGAATTTACCATATACACAGTATTATGCACAGTTTCATGCACAGTTTCTAAAAATGCCTCTCAACTCCAGGTAGCCCTGTCAGTCATTATCATGGGCCAACTAGCTATAACTATTAGCACATTTTTGGTGTCTGTGATCTATACTGTCATATGTAACCAATTTGTTGTTGTAAATGGTGCTGGTTTTTGAGTTTCACAATTATTTCAAGAATTTTGAGGTAATACTTCTCCTAATATTTGTTTATTATTATCTGAAAATCGTTAGCATTTCCGATTTAAATGACTTCAATATTTTCTGAATAAATATACAAATTATGGTAAAGATTAACCTCCTTGAACTCAAACATCACATTGCGTACAGTTGGAAAAATTTTGGAGAAAAAATAAAATAAGCCTAAAAATAAAATGTCTTGACAGTCAAATTTTAAAATGGAAAATATAATATAAAACCCTTAAGGATGTTCCCTGGTCAGATAGGAAAATATTCAATAGTATTTAACTTTTTCTCAAAAATGGTTTTCTGGGATTCTCACGGGCAACAAAGAATATTAAAACTTTAAAAACCATATGTTAGTGTGCTTTTTTCTGAGCAAGAGGCCTCTAAAGTGTCAATATTTGACAAAAGTGGGCGTGGCACTTTCTCATTGAAACCCATGTTAAAAATCAGGTTTTCACCCCAAAACACACTTTTGAATATTTAACTTTTTCTTAAACTCACAGAAACACTTAGTTATGCTATGTACTTCACATTTTGAAAAGAAAAATTAGGGGTTGGTGTTCATCGTTTTCAACTTCGTCCAGGGAACATCCTTAAATCAGCAAGGAATAAAGTGAACAGGCATGTAGTTTACACTGTAAATTGTATAGAAATGCAAGAAAATCAAAAAGTTTATTCAAATTTTAAAGAGAAATGAAGTGAAATAAGCATGAGCAGACGGATAAATTCTGCTCATGCTCATAATTCATGCACATTCCTCTCTAAAACTAGATGATTTTTTAAAGTTCTTTACAACTAAATATGTTATCTGCATCCCTGTTAAGTTTTTCTTGATTTTCCATTTTGCCTCTGTTACAATTCGTATATGCCGTATACCTAATTGTAACCAATATAGAAGTTATAAATGAAAACATCGATTTTATCGAACTTGTGTCAGGAAATGAGGTTTCCTTGTGGGTGTATCAAAAAACAATCATTTTCTAGTGTGCCAGAAATTCGTTCATGCACAACAAAATTTTCAAGTGTCATTGAACAGAAATGAAAAACGAGCAAAATCAATCCAAGCCATTATGAAGTATTTCATTTCTGTTAGGTTTCTCAAAATAGTTCTGGGATTAACTGTCTACAAAATGTGTCTGAAATTTGTGATATGAAACTGAATATAAAACAATATAAAACTGAAGTGAAATTGATGAGAAAAAATATAAAAAACCCGAAGAGGTCATTGATCAGATCAAATTATTCTATTCTCATGTTGATTGGAAAAAAAGCATATCAAATCTAAAAAAATTTCATTTCAGAAAGATTCATCCTTTATGTTACATATAACACCTTTTGATAAATGTTTATCCTTGTATATTGTTGTTTTGTCTATATATACTGGTGATCTCATTTCTCTGAACTTTGAAATGATGGGGCAAAATGTCAAAACCTCATTCCGTAGAGGTTAACATTCCATTGTTTATGTTCCCGTTGCGTCATAAAGCAAGTGTATGTGATAAATTATTCATTTAATTGCAATGTACTCACCTGAATTTACCTTACATGCAGTATTAGGCAATGAAAAATATAAGTTTCAACTTTATAAACAGTATTGTACACAACTTCGAGAAATGTTCCTGTTCGAATTTACCATATACACAGTATTATGCACAGTTTCTAAAAATGCCTCTCAACTCCAGGTAGCCCTGTCAGTCATTATCATGGGCCAACTAGCTATAACTATTAGCACATTTTTGGTGTCTGTGATCTATACTGTCATATGTAACCAATTTGTTGTTGTAAATGGTGCTGGTTTTTGAGTTTCACAATTATTTCAAGAATTTTGAGGTAATACTTCTCCTAATATTTGTTTATTATTATCTGAAAATCGTTAGCATTTCCGATTTAAATGACTTCAATATTTTCTGAATAAATATACAAATTATGGTAAAGATTAACCTCCTTGAACTCAAACATCACATTGCGTACAGTTGGAAAAATTTTGGAGAAAAAATAAAATAAGCCTAAAAATAAAATGTCTTGACAGTCAAATTTTAAAATGGAAAATATAATATAAAACCCTTAAATCAGCAAGGAATAAAGTGAACAGGCATGTAGTTTACACTGTAAATTGTATAGAAATGCAAGAAAATCAAAAAGTTTATTCAAATTTTAAAGAGAAATGAAGTGAAATAAGCATGAGCAGACGGATAAATTCTGCTCATGCTCATAATTCATGCACATTCCTCTCTAAAACTAGATGATTTTTTAAAGTTCTTTACAACTAAATATGTTATCTGCATCCCTGTTAAGTTTTTCTTGATTTTCCATTTTGCCTCTGTTACAATTCGTGGTATTTTCTGTGGGTTTTCACCTGTTCAAAATGACAGGTGCCTGAAAGTGCCTCGTCATTACACAGGTGCGACTGCAAGCAATATTCCAAATATCTACCACAGACTTCAGTTTCTTTTTTGTAACGATTAGACGAATGTTATCAAAAACAGCATTTGTTCTACTTTTATTGTTTGATAATTTTAAATGTCATCTACCTAATCTTGTTAATATCATGAAATCAATGAGTAATCATTAATGAGTAAGTATATAATATTTTATGACTGTTTTTCCTTTATATAGAATATAATTGAGACATATACAGGTATTATCAAGCGTCAAATACAGTTCACATCTGACATTCATAAGAACGCCAATAATTTTGTTCAGTATAATACTTGGAAGAGATAAGCTCGGATCATGCAGTAAGTCCACACAATTCTCAACATGTGGAATTCCATAGATTTTCTTTGAGTTATGGCCTGAACTATAAAGGCATAACCTCCATGTTAAATGCCAAAAAGCCAAACATCAATCATACATTGTATATACGCAGTTTTCTTAGCATAATTCCTGACAAAATTACTTCAAGGATCCATTATACCAGGGACCACCCCTTTAATTTCATCCAAGATTTTTTTGTTCATGGTCTTTTAAGCAAATTATTCGGGGATAAGAAAAATCTCTAAATAATTCAAGTGTATTTTCTTAATTAAACTAGACAATTTTTCTGTCGTTTATTTCCAGTGTGTCTAAATATTGATGCGCTTTTGATGATAAACAATCAAATAAGGATGCCTCCCTAATGAGTTTTTACGATGATGATTATGCTATTTTTTATCGCAGCTATTCATTAGATAATAGAAGATATACTGTTTCAATACTCAATAGAATAAACGCTCATTGATTACCCGTGTAGATAGTTAATGATGGTCATATTTTGAATCGCGAAATACAGAAGAAAAGGGAGGAATTATGGAGAAATAAAATATTCATATATGAAGTCAACACTCTAAATTGTACAGAAATGCCAAAATATTATATAGTTCATTCAAATTTTAGAGAAAAAAGAGTGATTTTAGCAAAAGAGGCGAAGAATCGTCTGCTTGGATTTAATAACGAATGATGTTGCCAAGTCTCTGTGAACCTTTGATAGTCTACAAAGTCATTTCCAAATTGTATTTTTGCGGAATTAATTTTGATTATATCTGAAATGTGTGGGCACTTTGTCATTATTATTCATTCACCTTTAGAATACTTTACAACTCTTGTAAAAGTTGATTATAATCTCTCTCACAATGAACTATTCACGAAAAATAGTTTTAATGAATTTTGAAGCAAGTAAATGTAATGCTTGTGCAGGAAGTCTTGCAGATTGTATTATTTCATTTTTAAAAACATAAAAATTAATATATATTACATGCTTTAAAAGCTTTGGTGGTAGGAACCAAATTTTGGCCTAAGCTTCACTTCTAGATCTTCATACTGCCTCGTATAATAGAAAAATCAATCTAGTTTTCATCATTACAGTCAAATATACAGCACCAAGAAATGACTCAACCTGAGATGACCCTTTATTCATAAACATGGGGCCGGTACCCTAATTGTCTTCATTTCTGGTGCTGTGTGCTATTCTGAGTAAATGTAGTCTTGCACTGAGTATTTTCATCACTCCAACCCCCTTTTTCATAAAACACATGGGCTTTGTACTTTGAATTGAGTATTTTCGCTACTCTTCACCCCCCCCCTTTTCTATAAAACACATGCGCTTTGTTTAAAGGGAGGGGAGGAGATGAGTAGAAATAACTTTGGATTCTGTCGGATGGATGGAGTACTGGTAAAGCGAGAGAATGGTACAGAGATGTAGGGATCATAGTTAATTCTATGGGGTGTCCTTACCATGAGTGGTATTCTATGAGAGGGTTGAGGGGGTAGTACGGGGGGGGAGGTTGTAGAGACTTTTTGCAAGACTACATTGATTGAATCATATCACATCTAAGTTAAAGATTTTTAATGCCTATAATACCCCCCCCCCCCCAATATTAGTTTGCTTAAAGTCATGTTTTGCTTCATTGCAGAAGGTGGAAATCCAGGAGCAGTGTCAGGACTTGGTATGTAATACAAGCTTTACAAGCTGTCTCACAGGGCTATGTTTTTCTTAAGATTTTCCAGAAATAGACAGAAATATTATTAAAATAATTAAAACTTGAATGAAAATGCATGAAATTCATGTGATTCTGTCCAGTTGACAAAGTTGAGCAACGAAGTTTAACTTTTCATTAGGGGACAGTGGTATATTGATATAAAATTATTTGAAAGATTTAATTGAAAGCTTTGCAAAATTTCTTTTTTTTCTCTGGGGAGGGGGGGAGGGGTTAAACCATAATGAAATAAACTTTTCTGTCAACATTTAAACACTATCTCTGTCTTAATAGAAAAGCATGAAAATAAACTACTTTTCAAAAATCTTACTGAGAAAAACAATGGCCTTATGTTAAAATTCATTTGGAAAGGTATCAAAACTTATATATTCTCATGGAATGCCATAGCATATAGAAAACTAATAATAATACTTACAGGGTGTCCAATAAATAAGGTAAAAGATATTGTAACTTTCTTAATATTGCACCAATCTTGATGAAATTTTCAGAGTTTGTAGCCCAAACCTTTTTACCTTTATTCTGTGAATTTAAAGCGTCTTCTACTTGATTGGCCAGAGTTGTGGTTGCTATAGCAACCGAAACAACAAAAAGGTGGGGCAAGTTTGTTTACGTCACAACTTTCCAAAACATATTTATTCTTTCTGATAGCTTTATTCATATTCCCAGGTCTATTACTACCACCAATACAATATAAAAACAGTCCTAAAGTCCCATTGTTATGAAAATAAGCTATTAAGCACAATGTCCATATCTACACTAGCTATACACTTCTTATGCCTACATGTATTCACCCACTCTCTGAACACACTTTCAAACCCATTCTTGCCCATTTCCCGAAGTCTTGCTAAGACATGCGATCTGAGTTCATCAGTGCTTCCAAATGTATTTCCTCTCAAGTCACGCTTGAGTTCTGCATATAAGTAAAAGTCATTGGGTGCAAGGTCTGGGGAATATGGAGGGTGTGCAAGTAGGGGTAGCCCCAGTGCCCTAATAGTTTCACTAGTGAGGATAGCTGTGTGTGAACTCAGATCACATGTCTTAGCAAGACTTCAGGAAATGGGCAAGAATGGGTTTGAAAGTGTGTTTAGAGAGTGGGTGAATAGGCATAAGAAGTGTATAGTGTGTAGAGATGGAAATTATGTTGAATAGCTTATTTTCATAACAATGGGACTTAAGGACAGTTTTTATATTGCATTTGTGGTAGTAATAGACCTGGGAGTATGAATAAAGCTATCAGAAAGAATAAACATGTCTTGGAAAGTTGTGACGTAAACAAACTTGCCCCGCCTTTTTTTTGTCTCGGTTACTATAGCAACCACAACTCTGGCCAATCAAATAGAAGACGCTTTGAATTCATAGAATAAAGGTAAAAATGTTTGAGCTACAAACTCTGAAAATTTCATCAAGATTGGTGCAATATTAAGAAAGTTACAATATCTTTCACCTTATTTATTGGACACCCTGTATATAGTAGAATAAGGATATAGGGAAAATATTAGTAAAAAAACTCATCATATTAATTGGTACTCGCATGTAGCATAAAAGTAGTGCATGAAATAATATTGATATATATTTAGTTGTTTTTTGAATGTATTTGAAGCCTAACTTTCCCAATTGACATCTTTAATCTGATTGGTTGATAGGGATAATGACCCGCCTTGTGCGAACCAATCGGATTCGAGATATCTAAAAGTTAACATTGATATATTTATGTAAAACTTGGAAAGTGGAACACCTTTGTAAGTGGAATACCTTTGTCAGTGGAACACCTTTATAAGTGGAACACTTTTTAAAGTACCTAAAGGTGTTCCACTTTCACAGATTCTATTGTATAATTCCATTAAATAATAATAAACTAATAATTTGTTATTTCAGATGAAACTACAACAATAATTATTATTGTCGTCGCCGTAGCAGTCGTGGTTATAATCATCGTCATCATCGTTGTGGTTCTTCTACTGAAAAAGAGAAAGGCCAAAGGTATTTTGCAATTTTTATATTGGAATTTTGATATAATTTTAAGATATATATTGATATGAAGAAAATACTGATTTGAGAAATATCTGGAGCTTATGACGTTTTAAGCTGTATTTAAGAAATGATGCATGATTTAAGAAGGTAAATAACTTGTATTAAGTATTTAGAGACCAAAGAAATTTGCTATTTTTCGATAAGAGTAGATCTCCTTCTACTTTGCATATAACTCTCATTTGCGATGTCAGAAAGACAGCTATTTCTTATAGTTCCATGCTTCAACAAGAAAGTAAATTTTTTTTATCAAAAATCATATATTACTTTGGTGTCTTGTGTGATTTTGAAAATATACCCGAGAATTGAAATAGTACAGAGTGCACCAAAAATGTAATAATTTCTAATATTGGTCGATCTGTTGCACTTCTTTGACACCCTATAGTTTGACTAATATCTGGGGCACACTCTTTTTTCTTATTAGTTGAAATATCTTTCATACCTTGCAGAAGACCCTGTTACTTATCCGGTCACATGTAAGACTTCTTTAGCAATTAGAAGCACGACACCCATAATGTCATGACGGTCATGTTTTGAAATGTGAAATTGAGTTGAAAAGAGTGGAATTAGCAAGAAATAAAGTAAATAGGCATGTAGTTAACACTCTAAATTGTATGGAAAGTAAATTAGACATGACAAAATTCACTATAACCAAAAAAGCAACTACCATAGAAAAAGTATGAATAGAATAAAATGCACTCTAGCATTAAGTGTGTGTATTATCGCTCATTTTCTCCTTACAAAGAAACAACATCCTCCGATCACAGGGCTTCAAAATCCAGAATATATTCTTTCTTTTTACCTTCTGCGATAAGCAGTTAGCATTTCCCCGATTAAGAACTCGCAATCTGTTTGGCTGGCGCAACACTGCAACAGAAATCATGTCTAAGTCATTGCGCATAATTAGATCACGTGATTCAGTTAAATCAGGTGCTTCCATATGTGAAAAAATTGCTCCACTACTTTTTGAGTTAGAGTAAAAAACGTGCTTCCAAATTGTTTATAGCAGGGGGAAGAAGGAGGTATGGATTCTGAACACCTGCTTAGGAGGATGAGAAACAAAGGTCATTATTTAATGAAGCAGACTTTCTATGAAATAGATTGACTGCACGTGAGCGATAATACTGCAAGGAAATCCTTCACATTCAAACCAATGAATTGAAAAATGTCAACTGACAAGCTCATTATATAATATGTAAAGATGGTATTTTCCAGCGAACAATAATTTGCACATCTCTACTACCACCCAAAAACCACCCTCCTATGGTGACGCTGTGAGACAATTCCGTGGTGGGTAAACCCCTACCCAAGGGGGGTGCTTCACAAAAAATATCAAAAATATGATTTTCAAAAATTACTGTCTTTCACAATATTGCCATAGTTACAATGTGAAACACAATTTATTGTGTGATATTGCCATGGTTATATTATGAAAACAATTGAAAATCTAGAATTGTTATTTATGATTTCAAATTTTTAAGAAATAGGCCCACAGTCTAGCCTCCAGCCTCCAATAATGCTTCAACACAAGCAGCTCGCCATACAATAAAATGATGTGGTTACCAAATGAGCCATATTTTCTTGTGACTGTAGGCTAGTCTGTCAAATATCTTCATGCTTCTATCCAACTCTAGTTGATTTAACTGCCATCTATATATGGGATCGGTTAATAGAAGCTTATTCTCAGTATGCACTCTATAAATAAGAATCATCCTGTTTCCGTTTGTTCATGCCGGATGATACAAAATTCTGAATTTTGATCATAGCTTAAATCTTCGCTTTCCATAAATTAGATCACTTCTATCGTGATTTGATTATGACTGTGATTTATGGTGCCAAATCAAGAAAAATATAAGGAATATGATTGTGGTAAAAAGGCATGTTTGCATATTATATTTAGAAAATCTCATGATATCACATATAACACGCAAATAATTCAATCATGGCCACCGCCTCTTATTTGATTTGATGTAATAATATTTTATTTCAGGTTTTTTACATGTAGGGATCCTCATTTATTTATTTTGATTTCAATATAAATTCATTTCCTTATATTATTGTTTCATTGTATTCACTTGATTTATATATTTCTATTCGAGGCGGCAAGAAAAATAAACCTTCAGTAGTGGTGGAGTATGCAAAAATTGGACCTAAAGGTTTATATCTAATACCAGTTACCCCAAAATTTTCAAAGTGGTCACAGAATATTTTCTTAGAAATAGAGCTTCAGAGTTGGTTTCTGTAACAACTTGTTACATTTTTAAAACTGTAACCAGGTGATGACATTTTTATGTTAATAAGTATATATTCTTGCCTTGACTTATTACATGAATCACCACCCCATTGATATCCCATTATACATGCTGGTTCACCCCATCATTTATTTTTCCCATGATACACACTGGTTTGGGATATTTCAGACAATAGACTTTTTGCAAGATATTCTGTTTTCAAAATTTTACTCTACTTTTCCGCTTTTGAGATTATTATTTTTTATGTCACCACCAAAAAGTTTGGCTTCGGCAGTTGTTACAGTTACAACCATTATTACACTTTTTGGGACCGTTTTTGGTGTACTTTTCAGTCCAATAATTTTATCGAACTCTGTGGCCACTTTGTGAGTTTTTGAAGGGTTCATATAGATATTTAAGTGCATATACTGTTATATTGTTGCTTAATATATGCAAAGCAGAACGATGCACATTTTTTACTAACTCTAGAAAACTAGAAAAGAAAAGAAGAAATCCAACTTATCAATACAATTATCAGGATGCTAAAGTAGATTGCACATTTTTCGTTGGTCTCATTTTCCATTTTATTCAGTAAGATTCAGATTCTTGATGCAAGCACTTTAAGAAAGGTATACCTCTCTAAATAATGAAAATTCAGTTGGATTTCTTTTCTATCTAGCCTATGATATATACCCGGCCTTTAGCAATTTTGAGAGCATATTATATACATGTAAATGTGTATTTATTGTTGTTTTTTTCTTTCCGTAGTTAATTCAAGAGCCAGTCCTGAGACTGAAAACCGGGGTGATTTTTCTACACTTTTTCCTTTATCCTCTACCCGCATGCTTGTATCACTTTAAATCTCCATGGAAATGAAAATCTGGGAAAATTTTGTTTGCTTGTGTCATGTTATATCTCTGTGGTTACTGGATGTTGAATGAATTTATTTTTATCACTTTTTGCTCTAAAATTAACAAAACAACTGATATAGTCCCTATGAAAGTATGACAGAGATTTTCATTTGTTTGTTATTTTGAAATTCAGGTTTGTCAAAAGGGAGCGTGAAAATTACATGCTTCATGTTGCCTCTCTGTCTAGATCTAGATTTAATTATTTTTAAACAAAACATGTGAGATTTTAAGTGATTTTCTGCATGGATGTTGCCTCAACATTTGCCTCAATGTTGCCTCAACATTTTCATTCTCTGTCATGTCTTAAAATCAAGTTCTGTATCTGCTTTCTTAAAATCGGAACAGTTTAATCATGCTTCAATATGTCAAATTTAAGTATTCATTTGAGATTTCATTCAAGGAGCTCTTTTGCGTTGGTACTAAAACTGGAGATGTTGTCATTTTTTCTGTAATTTTTTCCTTATTAAATTTTCTGCATGGTTAAATCATGATCAAAAGGTGGCGTTGTAAACTTAATTGGTTGGCTGTCTGCAAAATTTTTTTCAACTCTCACATTATCACATTATAGCAAGTACACTGTACTGTACCAGGCACTTTCAACCCCCCACTGTCAATGATTAGTTGAATCAAATAATGATGGTTGGCTGTCTGCAAAAGTTATTTCAACTCTCACACTATCACATTATAGCAAGTACATTGTACTGTACCAGGCACCTTCAACCCCCTACTGTCAATGATTAGTTGAATCAAATAATGATGGTTGGCTGTCTGCAAAAGTTATTTCAACTCTCACACTATCACATTATAGCAAGTACATTGTACTGTACCAGGCACTTTCAACCAGGCACTTTCAACCCCCCACTGTCAATGATTAGTTGAATCAAATAAGTGAGAAAACACCCTAGGTTGATATATTTATTATTAGATAGAAATATATGTAAGAGTTTATATCTTTATAACCATTAGTTTAGATCTAGCTGGGGGATCTAGGTTTCAGGACTGATTGAAACATAGACTAGTTACTGGTACCTTGAGTTGACAACCAGTAATATAGCTATGAGAAAACTTGGACTAGTATAGACATATGGACTGGTTGTATTTTAAGGATTTCAAATTCCTGGACAACTTTTTTATATATCATCAACAGAATGCAGCTAAGCTTTGCCATGCTTATGCTGATACCAAGATTTAAGCCAGGAGACAACAAGCTTTTGGCTTTACTATATCAGGCTCGTAGCCATGGGTAGTCAGGAACTCAACTGGCCAAAAGTCCTTTTAAAATGATGCAGTATTTCATAATTTCTAGCACTTTTCAAGTGAATTTGGGCCAGAATTGTCTAATTTGAACCCCCTGGAATTAAAAAACAAAACAGAACCCCCTTGGCAATAATTGGCCAAGGGCCTGACTATTATGTTCTTTTGGTTGTCCTTTTCTGTTACACATGGTTACATGTATAAATGGTCTGCACCTCAATCAGTTCAGGAACCCTATAATGTATAATGAAAAATTGTCATAATTTCTACACCCTTAAAGATAAGTGACTCATTCCCTATTTAAATTATATAAATTCCCCAATTTGGTATATTACACATGGTATATCTCTGATATCCTTATATAAAGTATCCCACTTTATCGCCCAGGCTATATAAGTGCAATATGCTTATAACTTCTATAAATTATATATATTGGTACTTCATGTATAAATTTTGTGAAGATATGCATTTGTTGTCTCGAAATGAATGAATAAATGAGGATCGCCTGATGTGAATAAAAGGTATATACCGTAAAAGATGATAGGATTTGTTGTTTCTAGTACTCGTACATGTACATACATGTATTTTAGCTATTTTGTACATCGATATATAGTCTGCACATATTCATCTACAGAATTAGCACTGCTTGCTATATTGTTCTCTATTGTATTAACACACTATTCAAGGAGGGGATTTCCCATGACCCATATATGTTGTGTTGCTGGGTTATGGTTACTTACCTCCTTTGAATATCTTCATAACTGATATCTTCTTTGCCATTTCATACAGCTCTTACTTAAAGAATTCACTATTACTAAACTTTAATTGAAGGATAGTCTTTGATAAAACTTATTGTTAGTAATATCACATCTAGAATTCTTTCCCACAATTCATTTATTGTATCACAGTGCATCATGGGATTAATCTTTATTTGGTTCCTGACTAAAATCAGAGACTTAAATGAATCTTTCTCATTAAAAAGAATATTTTATTTTATAATAGAAACATATTATAATTTTCTTTCTTTGTTTTTCCAGATAATGCAGATGCAGAAAAAGCACAGTAAGTTTTCAGTTATTTTTTTGTGAAAAATACTTCTTTATTTGTGTTGTAAGATTCTCTTTACGTCTATCTCTTCTTTATTTACCTGTGTTGTATTCTTTTCTATATAGTTTTGATATCTTAAAGTTATTCTTTCACTTATAGCCTAGTTCTTTATTTTTACCCTAATCTGTCATATTCTATCCATATTGCCCCTTTAAACAGAGCCATATATAAAAACGTCTGCTTAATATTTCCCATAATGCCTCTTCAATAAGTCAACTGCTTTATAAACATCCCATAATTCTATTACTAGTGCCATCTATACTATAAATTCACCCTATGGCGATGGCCGTGTTGTGAATATACGACTTGTTCTTGCTCCAAGGTAGGCTCTTCAATACAGGCAGATTCTTGACTCACTTGATATCTTAGCAGTTACATTTTATCATGTTTTGTCTGGTTTCTGAGATATGTAAGAGCAAATCAGATTTAAAAAGAGTTAGAAATATAGAACATAGATTAAATTTTTTTGTAATTAATGCAAGCACAAATAATTCAATGAGTTGACCTGTGATGAGAACATACATATATATATTTTATCCTTTTAAAATTTTATAGTATTATTATTTACTTTTTGTTTTTGCATAGTGAATCTGCCTGTAACGAAGTGTGGACTGTGAAAAATGTCCATGTTATGAGAGTGAGAAAAACTAGATTTTTGAAATTAAAAATACTTAAAAGGGTTCCTATTAACTTTGTAAAATTGCTCAGTATTCGCTCTATATTACACATTTTCTTTGTTCTAATTGTTATTTTATATTTATTATTAATTATTTGAGTGTCCGAAATCTGATTTTGTTATATTGTTGTGTCTTTGAATTTTTTTGAAATATGAACTGTATGTGTTAGTTATTATTGCTTTCAATCACTGTATAAACATATTAGTCTAAATATATAAATTTCATTTAAAATATAACTAACGCTATATTTTATTAATTTATGACCAATTTTCTATCACCCCATTTAAAACTAACAACTTTCTAAAACATCACCTAATATCACATTGAACTAAATTTCAAATTTAAAATCTTAATCTTCCAAATACTATTCATTTGAGTATTTGGGTTTTAAAGGGTTAAGATTAACTGGGTCATTGTTTTAAAGTGTGACACCTTTATAATGCATAATTATTTGTCATACCCTGTATATTCCAATACTTGGTAGGTAAATACTTGCTATTTTCTTGGAACACCCAGTACAAAAGGTAAATAAAAAGGAATGCAGTTTTAGTTATTATATACTCTTTTATTGTTCTCAGTAACTTTTGTTCAAAAAGTACCCTCTCCTAAAACCAAATACTCAAATACTGAGGAAAAGCTTTTTATAAACATTTTCTGACGAAACTAATGCAGGGAGGGTCAGAACTTTGACACACAGTATTGTACCAGGGGCTGGAATTTTGACAAAGTACCATGTCTTGGGAGTACATATGAAATCTTGGTAATCAGAAAGGGAAAAAAATGAAGACTACATTCATGCTGACAGTCAATGAAGCTCAGTTTAGTCCTACATTGCTCATCTTAGAGAATTGGAATGCAGGACCATTATGCATTATACAGGTCGACCCAAAAGTGTTGTAATTGAGGTGGCGTGGTTTTTAAGGCTTTTGTTTGTTTATTTTTACTTTTACGTGCTGCAACAGATTAGAGAGGTTTGCAACAATAAACAAGAGTTATAATGGAGGTATAGTTGTCAGCCAGTGCCTAAATGTCATTACGGTCATGTCTGTTCGAAAATGTCCATCTGCTCATGCTTATTTCACTCCATTTCTCTCTAAAATTTGAATAAAGTGTCAGTTTTTCTGGCATTTCTATACAATTTAGAGTTCTATCTACGTACCAGTATATTTTTTCTCTGTTGATTTTAATCTTTAATACTTTATTTTGAATTTTAAAACATGACCATGCACCGTGACATTTTTTCTTATGACTCGATGGCATTTCTACTCTTAGCTTATAGCTGTCTATGCAGTCTTAAAACAGATAGATTTACTCTCTTTAAATACCAAGTATGGGAATTCTGACGGGTTCGTTTTTTACCCACCCTAAAGAATTCCTCCATTTTGCATTTAAAGGAGCTCAAACCTATCTCCTAGTACTGCGATCTAGTTAAGTTCAGTGTTCAGTTTTTCTCAAGTTTTTATTTTAGACAGTTTCAATTCATGTCCATTATAAGGCCTGTTATGTTTCATCTTCCATTATTTAAAAATTCAGTATTTTTTGAGATGGTAGAGTTTCATCTCAGTATTCATTTGAGATTTTGAAATGCATTTATAGTTTCAGTGTTCATCGTTAAATGTTATCAGGAACTAAAAAAGGTTTTAATGTGGAATACAAAAACACTAAATTCTTATTATATTGGGGGGGGGGGGGGGTTGGGAGACTTATAAAATAGTCTAAAGACAAATGTACTGCATGTCATAAAAACGCATAATACATATAACTTTTAACATATTTTTGTATTGTAATTGTAAAGTGGAGTTTGGATATTTCTTAAAATGAGTATTTTCTATCTGTAAATGTTCATCCACATTATTAGTTGTCGTACTTATACAAATCCTATTTCTTGTATTACATAATATAATGCATGGATGTATCAATTTTTTATTATTAAGTCAATGAAGAAGACGTGTTTTTGATTTTTTTGCAAAAATAAGGCTACTAGGGTCTTGATAGGAAGTAGAATCTGGCATGTACTATATAATTTACAGACAGCCATTTGTATTTTATTGTTGCAATTTTTCATCTTCTGAATATTGATGTTGTACCCTTTTCTGCTTCTTAATCTTCTTTCTGGAATTTAAATGAAATAAAATGTACATTTAGATGGACTTAAATTACAATAATTAGTACACTTACCTGAAATCGTAACAAATTAAAAGTTGTGTCAATCTGTACTCTATTAAGGTTTTTAGTCTCTTCATAAGATATTTAGTTACCCAGTATTTTATTTGATATCAACTTTGATCTCATATTTTATCAAAGTATGTTAAACGTTATATCCTGCATTATTTTGTGATTAAAATTGAAGCCCCTTTTCCTACCCTTTCATTTTCCCACAATGCCTTTCATCAAAGAAAATTGTCTGCATAGTTTTCCCATGCTGCTTCTATTGAAGATACCCAACTTCAAACAGAGCCTTTGCAGGATTCTTAATCCGTCTGCTTTGTTTTCCCATAATGCTCGTCTTTACACAACAGAGCCATCTATATATTACGTCTGCTAACAACATGTATTATTTGTGTTTGTAGTGAGGTTGAAGACACTGGGCACACAAATGTGATTGGAATGGATAATTTAAAGAAAGATCAAGATGTATGTATAGAATTTTTAAATTAATTAAACTTTTGCATGTTTTGGATTTTGTCTTGCATTTTGGCTCAATTATTCGAGAGTATGAACACGTCCAAAAACCCTGATATTAGACTTACAGAAGCTACTATGGTAAAACACTGTAGAGGATTCCCCCTTTTAGAAATACAGTCAAATTCTTTAAAAGGGTAAATCACAAAGTTGTTAAAAACTAGTATGAAGCCTAATATGCAAGACAGAATTTGTTTTTTACAATATTATATACAATTAAATTAAACAAATGAATTTATCGTACACATGGTTGCTTTATTTTTTCACATATAACTAACATAATTTTGGGGAAAATTGTTTCAGTATTTAAGACATAAAGCATGATCAAATTAATTCTAGCATGTCTTTCAATTTTGCATGGCTTAACTGTATATATCTTATTTATTTTCCCCTGAGTTTTTGTTAAGTGCACGGATACACCTTACATTAAAAGTGAACTATTGTTCGAAAAAACAGCTTATAAGGAACCTGTACTATGCACTTCTTTTAATTAAAAAATTATTCACTCCTTTTTATTCAGTTTATATTATTTTCAAAGCTATCTTGAAATGTTAGTCTTGAATCTTGAAATCTATTATTTGTTTAATTTTATTTTTGGGGATATATGCTAGAAGGTTTTGTAAAAATTAACATTTTCAATTCAAAATATACAGGGTATCCATAAAGTCTCTTTACCCTTTACATAGATTTTGTATTGTAATGTAAAGAGACATTATGGACACCCTGTATGTATAACTGTTTTAAATGACAGTACAGTTAACTATGTAATACAGAAATACAATTATTTATTTTTCATTTTCATTAGATAACATTTATAAAAAATATTTGGTACTTAACCAGAAAGTATAAAGGCATTATTTTTAGTAACAGTAACTTATAAATAATATAAAACTAATTAAAACAGTGTGAAACATTTTAATAAGCTAAATAATATTCAAGATAGCTTCTAAAAGTCTGCATGAGTCTGTTTATATGCTATATATGTGACAAATAGGTGAAGAAAACATTTTTAAATGTAAGAACTCATATGTTTGGTCTCTGTCAGGCTTTTGAAATGACCCATACTGACCCATAACTGTCTGTTAGACTAGCAAGAAATCTTGGATGAAAAATGTTTTCTTTGACCTGAATTAAACTTAAACTCTATTTTACTATATGAGGAGGTACATATTTTATGCATGCTATTTTGTTTGTAGCCCCGGGCCCGTAATGTTGAAGGTCTCGTTTATGCTGATTTATCGTTAGATGACACTCCTCGTAGTCGGAAACCCATACAACTGACCAATCCTGAAAGTGAGACAGAATATGCTGAGATACGACGACCCTAAATATGAACTCCTGTGTACATAGTTTAAATGTATGTGAAATATATTGGGCGTGGCTTTAATTTGAGATTTAGCACAGAGAAGATTCAATCCCACAAGTCATTGTGTGTGGTTATCAAGATGCATTGTTGGATTGAAGTTCTTTTTTTATTTTTTTTTATTTGACCCTTTATGTTGGCCTCATTTGTATTTTAAGTAAGTAGCATTATTGAAAAAGGGAATGCCATAACAAACAAATAAAATGTTGCTTTATTTGGTTTTATTAATTTGCATGGTTTTGTTTTAAATCTAATCCTATATTATATGTGTTATTTTTTATTTACTATTTTTTCATTTATTATTTATTTTGGGTTGTGGTTATTCATCATTACACTTCACATTATCTTTTGAAGTTTCTTTGACACTCGCCAAGGCTACATGTTTGTTGTGCATATCAATAACTAAATTGTGTTTGAATTCAGCAACAGCAGCTGTTGTTATTGAAAATCAGTATTTACTATTATTAATATAATTGATATCAAAATGATACTGAAACATGATTTTTTTGTTTATTTGTTAATTAGTAGTAATCATTTGTGTCTTTAGCTCATTCAGTGATGTCTAAAATGCATATAAATGTTTTCATTTCTTTGTACTTTCTTGAAACATTAGTGTCTCAAAATTCATTAAAATGTTTTATTTTTCCAGCCACGAAATAAGAATGTTGAGGGACTAATATATGCTGATTTAGCTCTTGATGATACACCAAGGAGTCGAAAACCTATCCAGTTGTCATCGGACAGTAACACGGAATATGCGGAGATACGGCCGGGTCGATCGTAGCAAAATTAGTGCGATGAAAAAGTATTAATATGTCCATCTTATTCAGGTGCTACAAAAGTAGATATAGGTCTAGAAATGTTTCACAGGTGACACAGTTAAGAGTGGAAGAGTCAAGAAGCTGTACTGGATGGATATTAAAATGAGGGGGTTGTTCCAATGTGTTCCTTTGATCCTCAGCTAGCCAAAATATCAGAGGAAAGTGAACACTCAAGGCACAAGGGAGCAACCCTCCTTTGCTAGTACAGGACACATCTTGGTTCATTTGTTACCTAAATGTGTATGTGTCAAAAACATGACTGAGTCACTAATGATTTGAAACCGCCAATTTGATCTTTTTCTTTTAATTGATTATAGTTAAAATATGATGTCTCATTCAATGTTGATACATTGTGTGGCCAGTTTATCCTTCCTCAGTTTTCACAATCTATTTAAATTACAAAAATCTGACTGGTTTCGAATATATACTCGTACACAAGTAGCATCCAGATCCTGATCATAGTGTGGGCTGCTTGTATTATCAGTTGTTATGACATGTATTAACACTTGCTATGACATGCATATTGGTATATGATATGAAAAGCCCCTTGGTTATTCATGATGGTGTGTGTCTCACTGTATAATCAGGGTGTGGATATGTCCCATGTACAAACATTTCTACCTACAAGCAACTTTTAATGCATGAATTCTCTTATAACATTTTAACGGCATTGTATTGTACATACATATATTAAGAAAAAAGAATAGTCACAAGAAAGTAGATTTTGTAAAGACACTAGGACCAATTTTGTACAAATACTGCATATAGAAAAAACATGTTAATATGCTTTAAATATGCATGATATTGTAAATATGAGATTTTAAAACCTGATTTTAGTATTACAATGTAAATATTCTATTCATTATTGTTTCAATGACAGATTGTATTTTAGCTGGTTGCTGATGTGCTTTGTGCTATGTTAGCATTTGAGCTTGGTTCATAAGATGACTTGAAAAATGTTTCACATAGTCAGTTAATCAGTTCATGAATACTCAAAAAATATTTGAATGTTCATCAAATGTTCATCAATATTCTTGAATGTTCATTAATATTCTTGAAAGTTTATTAGTTAGTGAATGTTCATCAAAGAATTGAATCATGTTAAAAGAAGTTTGTTCATGAATGTTCACTAATGTTTTTGAACATTCATCAATGTTTTTGATTGTTGAACAGTATTTATGAGTGTTCATCAGAGATTTGAATCATGTTAAAAGAATGGATGTTATACATTATTGCACATGTTCTCAAGTGTGTATGAAACATCAGTTGAAAGTTTACCAATAATTGTGGATGTTCATTGTATTGATGATTGTAAATGTCTGTACTGTACATGTTTTTCAAGTTATTTTATGAAATGATAGGAACTGAACCTTGAAGATGTATTGTAGATCTGTCTCTTAGTGGCATTCCAGTCAACATTTAGACAAACTACGAAACCTGTTTAAAAACTCACAATGGTCTTGTTTTAAAATGCAAAATTGAGTAGAAAAGAGTGGAATCAGCAAGGAATAAAGTAAACGGACGTGTAGTTGACACTCTAAATTGTATAGAAATGCCAGAAAATCAGACAGTTCTTTGAGAATTTTGAGAGAAAGGGAATTGAACAGGCATGACCAATGAGAATTTTTAGCATTTAGAATACTTTGATACATTATATATTCAGGAGCTTTATTTAGTCACATGTTAAACTGTAAATGAACAGGAAAATTAACAGTAATGTAAGTTCATATAATATGGAACTGTAATTTCAAGCTCTTTTTTACACAACTGGGTCTTAATTTGATCCAATCCTAAACTGTACATTTGTATATATGTGTATTATAATCATTGAGATAATTGTTAATGAGTACCTTGCCTACACATTTTCATAATATGATTAAAGCCATTTGCAAACTGTTCCATTTCAGCAACAGTTATTGATCATTTAGCTATATCACTATGAAATTCAAACAGGGCTTGACAATGTATTCTTACAACGTTTAAACCAAGTCTACTTTAAACCAAGACAGAGCTTATAGGTGAGATCAGGCGAAGCTTATTAATATTTATTGATAAAGCTTATTCATGATTAAGGGTCCAAAATCAACAGGGTGTCCCTATATTATTGTGGACATTTCTTTGTCATCTTATTTCTCAACTTGTCAATCAAATTGACTATGTTTTAAAAAACCACATGAAAATGAATTTTTATCAACTTTTTTTAGAGCATGTTTATCACTGCACAACAGTACAACACTGCTTTTCACTTATGTTAAATTTCATTCACAGTTATAATTAATTTGTATAACAAAGTCACACAAATGCACAGATATTGAAATCTTATGATTTGAATTAATTCCGCATTTAAAGTATACTGCATTCATTTGGGTGTTGTTTTGTTATATCTTTAAACAGTCTTGACAACTGAACTGTTTTATAGAAAAAAACTTGATATTTCATAATAAGAGGGTTGATCCAAAAGTCCTGGACCATTTTCTCTAAAAATCTTATGTTTTTGTTCATATTTGGCCTCAATCACCCCATATATAGTAGTTTCATTTTGTGTAAAAATCATGATATTTCAAATCTCGTATATTTATGGATTTTGTCTTACAAAAAATGTAAAAACACGCCTCTATCCAACTGAGAACCTTCATATGTTAGTTGTTGACATAAGGCATGAATATTTAGAATAAGGTCACCAAAACATTTTGCTGGATATAACATTGTTAATTTACTTCTATTAAGCACATTGTAAATATTGTAAATAGTCATATAAATGTTTATATTTTACTATTGATAATTAGTTTCTAATTATTAAGTATGCAAATACATAACAAAGCAGTTAAGGCCAATGTGGGATAATGCTCGATTCACATGTCCTTGAAAAAAGAATATGACTGAGAAACAAATTATTTCAATTGGCCTATAAGAATAATTCAGATTAACATACTGTATGTGCAATTAGAATGTTGTCTCCTAAGATTGTAAGGCATTTGTTTGGAAACAATTTTGTTTAGCCTATTGCACAGATATCCAAGAAATATATTTATGGAGGAATGCAGGAGACATTTCCTCCAGGAGCTGTGGTGTAGACTGTACTAATCACATGGCAAGTTTGGTTCATAATTGGCCAATTAAAAACATAATACTCTCTTTGTTTCAATACTTTTTATTGTATTTAGAAGCTAATTTATGTTTCCAAATAAAAATATTGAAATGTTATTAAAGAAGTTTTATTACATGTGAGCCATATTTGAGTTTAGAACTGTAAATCTATTCTATATATTTTCTGCAATTTACTTTCCAAGTGTGAAAATTAATTAATTGGCGATAACTTTTGTATTTGATATTATTGACTCATCTTTTATTAGGGAATGTTTTAAATTAGCCACAAAAATCATGTGATTGTGGGAGATTAATTAAAATGGTTCAAGAACAAAATTGTTTGCGTTTAGAATTTTAGAAGTATTTTAGTGTCCCTAGACAATTCAACTTGTAATTTTAAGGCCATAAAGCTTTTATAAAAAGTGCCTTACATAATAATTCATAGATATAGATAATGATCTGGAAATAAAAACTAATTTTTAATTATTAGCAGTTGACCTCTGCAAACTGCATTGCATCATGGGTAATTTGTACCATTAAATTGTTGTATTTTCCTGGTTTCCAGTTTGAAGAGCTCAGTTGGAGACTCAAGTTTTATTACCATATAAAAGATTCAGTTTGATGTTCATTAAATAGCGTAAACATAGTCGTGTATTAAACTGTACAATATTGTAAAATAAGTCCAATGTAGGTTTAATATACGTGCCATTTGTAATAAAACAACAAAAACTTGTTTTGTTTGTATGTTTGAAAGTTTTTACAAAGCTAGGTTTTGTATTGACTTGGAAATTGGTTGATTGCAGTCCAATGCAAAGCTCTGAGATATGGTTAATTTACAAGCATTAGACCTTTCACTTAACTGCTTGATGCAAAACTCAAGCAAGGGAATTCATTTTGCTTTGTAGCTCAAGTTATCCTTTACTTAGATCAAATGCAGAATTTTTTTAATTCCAGTTGTATTTTTGTTCAAAGCGCTTACAATTTCACTCTACCTGAAGTGATTAAAAATGAAAATGAGGCCTTTTAGTTACAAACATTTGAACTATAATACCCTTTCCAAGAGTGGTTAACTGTCTCACACTCTACATTCATCAGGAAACTTGATAAGCTGACCAGAGCCTGTTTCTTTCAAAGATGATGCTCTATGATGTATACATATCAGTATGGCTGGGTGAGGTGGTGTGCTCTGATTGGTTGAATGGAATACTTTAAAATCATTGGTTTTCCTCCGAGTATGATACACTAAGTGATGGGCTCCTCAGGGCACTCTCCAGTTAGAAAGCTACATATCTGATCAGTTGCACCTTCCAAACGCAGGCCTCCAGAACTTGTACCTTGTTCTTCCAGAAGAATTAAGGAAGGAATATAGTGGATGATGTATGGAGCCCTGCATTTGGAGGATGGATCATATTGAGACAGGAGTACTTTCATGAACAATATCTTTGACACAAAGAACAAACAAGCAGCACTTCTATTTAATTCTATTTCAGAGTAAAAATAATATTCATGAATTATTAATGCCCTAAAAGTGGTGTAGCCAGGGTAGATTTCATAATTGCATAGCGTTTTATTAAAGTCACCTACCATTCCCTCGTAAATTCTAGTATAGTAACTTGGCCATTATATCTTGTTCAAAATCATAATGGAAACCTTACACCATCTTTCTCCTTCCTAACAAGAAATTGAAAAAGGGTATCCACAAAAAGAGGTAAATCAAAATAATCTTAAATAATTTTGTATAAGAGTGGTATTGTAACTTATACTTGACAATATGTTTATGGGGATTGCAGACATTGGGCTTTTTAAACACCAAAGCATGCCAATGTAACGAAAAGGATTTATGGGAAACATCCTCTCTTGGATGTTAGTCTGTGCATATACACTAATACACAGGCAATAGTGGAACTGTAGATTGGGGTGTGGCAGCAGAGATTTAATACCTGACATATAGGAGATAGATAATTCAATAAATCAGTTTCACTTGAAGGCGGCATGGGAAGATACCTCCTCTCACATAGGGTTAGACATGACAAAGTCTCTTTAGAAACAAAGGAGGCCTTAGTTACCAGGTTTCAGCATGTACAATACATGTTTACCTTGTAACTTAGATGACAAATGATTGATCAGCAATATTGATTCATAAATTCTGCATCATGTCTGGTATTTATAACTAACAAAGGACTAAAAACATTTACATAAAAACATGTTTTGTAAAACACCATGTAGCGCTTGCACATATTGCTCCATCTTGTGAACATCTTTTCTGGAAGGCATAACTTTTTCTATTTTATGTAAGTCAATACTTCCTCAGTTGTTCCTATGTGCATAGTGATTTTTGACATACAATAAAAAAAAACATGCGAAATGAAAAATGAAATTCACTTCATTTTTCTGCTATTTAGTCTGTTCACAACATACATATTTCTCCATGTATAAATTATGTACATATTTGAAACATTTCTCAAGTTCCAAAAATATTTGCTATACATACAAATACACTAGGATCCAGGCCCAAAGCCCCGGGCCTGTTGCCAGCTTTGGCCCAGGGGGTTCACTTTGACACATTTGGCCAAATATCATATGAAAAATGCTCAGAATAGTGAAAAACTTCATGATTTTGAAAGAATTTTTGGCCAGGGAGTCCGCTCGAAGGTGGACACAAATAGAAAAATTGGCATCCTATATCTATTGGAAGACCAAGTGTGTTCTCACATACAAGTGTCACTGTATTTACAATAAGCACACATGACATGGAACAAACAAACATATTGATCATTAATTTTAATTTTATTGTCTGACTTATCTGAAATCTTAGTTTATTACTTTGGGTGATAAGGCCCTTGCAGTAAGTTTGATTTTTATTCGGGATTTTTGATGCAAAGGGGACAAGGTGACCTTGGTTGCTCCCTCTTACACTTGAGAATTACAAAAATATGAAAAGGAAACTCTGAAAATCTTAGGAATAGAAGAAAATGGTTTGAGAATGTGTGAAGACCAGACTGGGTCTGTTAAAAGCCAAAAGGATCATTTATTTACAAGAGCCTAATTGATAAGCCGGAAATACAAATATCCCATGAACCCCCACCAAAATGTGCTTTAATTTTGTTTACATCAAATAACATAAAGGAAAACAAAATAAAAAACAAACTTAAATCTGTTAGTATATTATTGGGTCAATCTGTTAAATGATATTTTTGACATTATACCCTACAGCCTATTAACTAAAACCCCTGAACAAATTTCAAGGATATGTGTGGGATCAAAGAATTTGAAACTATTATCTCTCTCAATATATCTCTGTACACAAACTGATATTGTCTAATAGCCTAATAACTTCAAGAGTGGTGGTCATTCATGAAGTACTTATGACCACTTTAATAAGAATTTGCTTGGGATTATTACAAGGGGAAGTAATCATTAAAATGGAAGTTGGTGGGAGGGGTACAGTCATCAATGTAACTAAGTTTACAGTATAGTCTTTGAATCTATTCTTCATTTTTTAGGAGCAGGGTCATACCCACAGACACGGGAACAAGAGTTCATCCCCCTCCCACTCACTATGTATTAGGTAGAAAAAAAGACAGTGACTGGCGGGGGGGATTTAAATCTTCCTGTGCCTGTGGTCATACCTGACATAACTTTAGCTTCTAAACGTTTGCCTTGAGGGCTGAATCGTTGGTAAATGTGTTTTTGCTTATTTGCAAGTTGTTTGTTCTGTAATCAAAACAATAGTATTATTGCATTAATAAACAACAAAAAAGTATCTTGTTTTCTTAAGATGCGACTAAGTGGGCGGGGTTCAGGTGAGTCTTTAAGACCGACCTTTGAACTTAAATGTCGGAATCATTTAAGGTATTTGAAAACGAAATTACTCACCTGGAAATTTGAAATGCAAATAACACTAATAATGAAAAATAAATACTGATAAGGAATAACATAAAAAATCAAGGATTATTTCCTGAAGTCCTCGATAAGATCGTATTACAGATTGAATGTAAATAAACCAACTACATGACACATTTATTTGTTTTAATTTGTCATCCACTTTAGCCGCAATGCATGCCGGGACAGCTTACAACTGAATGGCGGACATATTTTGAGCGGGTTACCGTTAAAAGTTACTACACTTATAAACGATTATCTCATGGAATAGCAACCATAACTACACTTGTTCTATATATAGTCGGAAAGTGGATGAGGAGTTCTTTAAGTTAACGCTATTGTGAAGGAGGATACTTCTTTTGATCTCAAGAAAACTACGGAAGAAAACAGCTGATCATCAGTCACCATGTTTAAAATCTTGACAATTTTTGCATTTATTTCAGGTAAGTCATTTGATTGATTTATCTTATAGACGTTACCTATCAAAATTAGAACTTAGTATGCATACTCTCAGTAATATTTAAAACAAATTAGTGCACATTTAAAGTGAATGCAATTTCGATGATGTTTGTTTCGTAGTTTTTTAAAAACTGAAAAAGTAGGTCAACTCAGGTAACAGGTGGGCTGTAAACAAGTCTAGATTCCTTTACACATACATATAAACGTTATGTTTTGTTATTCATTTTATGGGGTTTGAGGGTTTTGAACAGCATTTTGAATATGATTTCATTTGATTGAATATGCAATTGTTCCCAGGAAAGACAATACAGATTCTCATGTTCCAAAGAGATTTTTCCAAACCAGGAAATGAAGGATGAACCTTCCCTTTTCTTTGAAACCATGAATATTCAAGATGATACTTTCGTGTGATTTTCTTATGTAGTGTATGTGGTTTCTCAACTTTGTAATACCTGTAATCAAATTGTAAGCCAAAGGCATGTGGTCTTAGTCGCAATATTTCCAAATAAGGATATATCATGTCATTTACCATGGTTATACTGCATGACGTGTCCTGATCATGGCCTGGACACATTTAGAATCAATTTCAAATAATCAAGGACTACTAATTTGTAACTAACTAGAAAAGCGGTAGAATATTATGTTTGAAGCATGAACTGAGTAAATATGGCTCTTAACTGTGCATTTGAACCATGGATTGAGTATATTTGAAGCATGACTTGAGTACATTTCAAGCATGCTCTATGTCATTTTCAACTCCTTGAGATTCCGTGTCAAGTTTTCATGTAATACTCATGGCCAATGACATAATGTTTATGTTTCCTCAGTGCTCATATTAGTACCTCAGCAGGTTTTTCAACCTGTTCAAACCTTACATTTTTCATGCTCATTTCACTCTTCCTCTGTTAAATCTCAATGAGTTCTTTGGTATTTTGACATTTCTTCAGAATTTAAAGTGTCTTGATCTTGTCTGTTCCAAATCTTGTTAATTCCATCAGATTTATCATAATTTCGTATTTAACTATAAAGCTAATGTTGTTAAATGCGAGGGACATGTGACATATGTTCTAATTACTAAGTGTAACCCTTGATCAAGTTAATGCAATATAATTCAGTAATTATAACTCAAAATAAATTATACGTAATTTAGGTTTCATTAATATTTAATCACTTACTAGGATTTATTTATCTATACCACTACCAGACATATTTTTGTTCAAAATTGTTTTCACAATATTTTTCAATATATGTATAAGAGTACACTTATACAGAGAGAGTTTGAATATATAAATGTATACTAAAAAGTATATTTGAGACAATGTCGCTCCTGTTAACAAGAATGACGTGTAAAGCCACATGTTTTACTGTATAACATAAAATTATTGAGATCTCCATACTGGTAGTGCTAGCCTACTTAACCTGTTATCAGAATCTTGTATTTATCAAGTGATGATTATTCTAACCCAGCTCAAAATGTCCATCATACTATTTCTCCCTAAAATTTGAATAACTTCCTTACTTTCCGGCACTTTGGTATAATTTGGAGTTGCGATTTCATGCCTGTTTTACGTATCATTAAATCCAGCCTTGAGAACTTAACTTTTTATTTAAAAACAGACCTCTAGGTGTTTTAGTTCAGGGTATTATCTTTTACTTTAGAGTTGTAGTAAATGGTAAAGATTGTTAGTGCTTTATGATATGCAAATATGATCTGTACAGACAGCATGGATCGCCATGAAACTTTATAGCTTTTTAATTCTAAACATTGGGCAATATGAGTGAACTATATACAAAAACATGTTACTAGTAAGTGAATGCTCGTTTTTAATGAATTTATCCCTGAGGAAAACCTTGATTTTAAAAAAAATTACTATTCATATTTCACTCCCAATCTTTATAAAATTTCTATATACTTACTTTATAATACAGTGAAACCTGTAGATAGTGAACACCTACAGAGCTACAAAAAATGTGCACTGCAGGTAAGTGTTCACTATAAAGGGGATTTTATACAGGTGTCAATGTAAAATGTGTATTGAAGTGTTGTTACTAAACATAGGTATTTACTAGAGAGAGGTGTTCACTAAGGCAGGTTTTACTATACATGTAATAAGGAGATCATGTGAGAAAGCATTGCGCACGCAACAGACTAATAAGTAATCAGCCTTTAACGATGAATGTGTCTAGATGAATAAATCAAACGTGAATTCAATTCAATAGTTCTGAAATTATATTGACTTACGTTTGTGATCTAGAATACTTTAATCATAGGTATATAAAGTATGTTAACGTTCACACCACACACTGGAGTATAATAAAGGGAGGGTAGTCCCTGGGTATGGGCACATGATCTCCTTGAATCAATGTAACAGGTAGAATTCCAGTCAAAATTCACCTTTTCCAAAGGCTCGTTTAACTTCCAATTCTACCATGTTACATATTCAAGGAGATCACGTGAGATGTTTAAAGCCCAGATGGACACATTCATCAAACAAACTATGTGACAAGACATTTTATAATGTAAATCAATCACTTTCACATAGAACAAGGCATAATATAATGAGGTATTCATTATTTATTAAACAATCAAATGCAAATAATACAAAAACGTCATAAAATTACGACGCCAATATTGACACAGAGCCTAATAAGTGTTACTATAAAGAATCACTTACATGTAGTAGCCGAGTTTAAAACAGCTAAACCAAATTGACTTTTGTCATTTTTACAATGTAAGGGCTTATTATAGAACTTTGCAAACGTTGCACTGCTGCTCCATCCTGCAGCATTAAGAATAGAATCTAAACTACTGCCTGCCCTCAGGGCTGCTGAAGTAGAGGCAGAACGTGTTGAATGTGGTTTGAATAATTGTACATTGACGCCTGATTTTTCTAATGCACATTTAATCCAACGACTGATAGTATCTAAAGATATTGCAGAAAATGGTTTTTGACAGCTTATGAATAATTGTTTTTCATTACCCCGCAGAGTGTCCGTGCGGTCAATGTAATTCTTCAATGCATCACATACACATAATCGTGTATTCCCATATTTAGGCAATGTTAAAACAGGTAAACTTTTACCACATTTGGATGTCTTAAGACATTTAGATACTAAGAGTTTGTAACAAGTTTTTTCTTCAACACAGTTATGTACTTCAAGTGAATGTAGAGTTTGTCGACGTTGTCCTGTGACTAAGGCTAGTAATGTCACTAATTTCATCGCAAGATCTCTAAGTGTTAAAGTTTCATTAGGCGATAGCGTTTCAAGATAATTGAGTACAGTAGAAACCTCCCAAGTAGAGTCATATTTAGGCAAAGGAGGTCTATCATTGTATACACCTTTCATGAATCTGGAAACGAGAGGATTGGATCCAAAAGTCACAGAGTCATACGACATGATCAAAGAGAGTGCTGATCTTGCAGTGTTAATAGCACTATAACTTAGGTTATCTTTGAATAATGACGTAAGGAAATCAAGTCCCAAACTCAAAGATGCGTGTAAGGGATCGTAATTCCGTCGACGACAGAAGAGTACCCACTTACGTAAGTACACTGAGTACTGTTTCTTGGATGCCGCTTTCCACGAGAGTAGAATAACGTTTGCAGTGTCCTTCGAAACGCCTTGGCTTTCGATTGATGTCCTGATAAAAGACAACAGATCAAACTCATCTTGTTCCAAAGTGGATGGACCTTGGTCCGATCGTACGGTAATGTCAGTAATGTTTGACGTTTTGGTAGAATCACCGGGGGGTCGATCAACATTCTTAGAAGTTTTGGCCACCACGGCTGCGTTGTCCACATCGGAACGATGATGATCACGTGAGTCAGGCCCTCGCATTCTATCTTCTGCAGGACTTTCGTGATTAAACTGAAAGGACAAAAAACATAGATTGATTCATTATCCCATTTGATATTTAATGCGTCAACGTTTTCAGCATTTGGATCAGGTCTCCAAGAGACATAGCGTGGCAACTGGTGATTCAACCTAGATGCAAACATATCAATTACTGGTGATGGCCAGTTTGGCAGATTACAAATACGATCAAAGACCGATTTATCAACCATCCACTCCGTTTCATCATGAAACACTCTGGATTCTGCGTCGGCTTCGACATTTTGACACCCTGGAATGAATGCAGCGCTCAGCCAGATTTTTCTAAAAATACAGAAATTCCAAATTTGTTTTGCTAACAAATCACAATCTGGTGATGTCATTCCACCCATCTTGTTAACATAAGCAAGAGCTGTGGTATTGTCCGTTTGTACACGAACGTGGATGTCGGAATGTGCTTTACAAAAGCATTTCAAACCTAAAAATATAGCCAGTAATTCAAGATAGTTGATATGATGTTTAGATTCCTCGTCTGACCAACGGCCTCCGGTCTTCACATCATTAACAACATCAAATGTACCCCAACCTAGGGTACTACTGTCCGTTCTCAGAAAGACAATTGGTTCTGGAATTGAGATTGATCTGAAAGCAGTATCAACATTATTTATCCACCATTGTAAATCAGACTTAGCAGCTTCAGATAAAATCATGCATGCATCAAAATTGCCTTTATTTAAGGACAGAGCCAATGTTTTATCTCGTTCAACATTCCTGTAGTGCAATTGACCATATTGAACTCCAGGAAAAGAAGAAACAAATTTCCCAATGATTTGTGCAACTTCTCTAATAGTGCAGTTATCACGTGATATCATATTTCTACACAATTTTTTGAGTGTCTGAGACTTTTCTGGTGGTAATTTTACAGTCATTTCGACAGAGTTCAAAATGAATCCAAGAAACGTTATTACCTGTGTAGGTTCTAGTGTCACCTTCTCAGGGTGGATTATGAAGCCAAGCTTTCGAAGCAATGTGATCGTGTCAAACAAATTCTGCTTGCATTGTTCATAGGTTTCTGCAAATAAACAGCAATCGTCAATGAATGCTACTGACAAATGACCTTCATTTCGCAATTTAGCGTACACAGGCTTCATTATTTTAGTGAATATTCTAGGAGCGGAACTCAGCCCTTGAGCCAAACATGTATACTGATACAATTGGCCTTTCCATTCAAATTGCAGAAATCTTTGAGAATCATAAGCAATGGGAACACTGTAATAAGCGTCCTTAGCGTCGACGCAGGACATGTACATATTTGGTAACAAAATGTCAATAGCATGCTGTAGATTCTCCATTTTGAAATGATGATATTCTACGTTTTTATTTAAATCAGATAAGTTGAGGATTTTTCTTTTTGATCCATCATGTTTGGGCGTAAGAAAGATAGGTGAAACATAACCTCTCTCTGAGTGATTAACCGGGATGATTATACCCTTCTTTAGAAATTTATTGATTTCTATATCCATGTTTTCGTTCTCAGATTTAGAGAATTTTGAATTTCGAGCCTATTGATTTTGTATAATATCATCATTACAAAATTCAATTGTATAGCCATTAATTGCATTTAAGATTGATTTGTCTGACGTCAACAATTGCCATTCATGCATAAATTGTTTGAGACGACCACCTTGAAATTCTTTGACTGAATTATATAGAATTGATCTTACCTTTTCAGGCTCGGTGTCAATCTTGATAGGCTCTTCTACTGTGAAGCAGCTTGGTCCTGGGACGACTTGTTCTGGGACTTGGTCTTTGACCACTTGCCTCTCTTGGCGCCATT